GGTGGGTGGGAGGGTGGGAGGGTGATAGGGGGGGTTATTAAGGGTCCCAAGTATCCACACGAACTTGAACGAACATGGACGAGTGCAGGAAGGAGAGAGGGATGCCCATGGATTTTGTACAAAACTCTTGTGTGTATTTGCCATGAGATAGCGGAAAGTAGGACGCGTATTAAAAACCACGAACCGTGTCCCGCGTGCGGTGAAGTTACTTCACCGCGAGTTGCTATTACCCAATCGAATTTGTCATAACTGGCACGGAATCGTCGGCGCACGAGCGCGGGAATTATTTCGATTTTTTGAAATATTTCCTTCCGACTGTAACCTTTTGAGTTATTCATAAGTCTGTTGGAATATTTCAGCAACTAAATATCGGTTGAAACATTATATCGGCCATTTTTTAATGTACTCTGTATGGATGGGAGTAAAGCCGGATTTTATTCACATTCTATTCATTTTTTATGAATTCTTGGGAATTATACTACTATTAATTAATATTATTAGTTATTATACTCCGTCGCGGGGGATAGACGTCGAAACGCTTTAATAAAAATCCGTCTGGAAATATAGGTCTGTAATTTGCGTTTTATATAATTTTTATATAGATGCTGAGTCGATTCAATACAAAAATATATAATTGTCTGCATAAATATTTGTCGGTGTGATCAATGAGTGGAATTATTCCGAGAGGCTGTGCAATATTGGTATTCTCCAAAATTTTTCATGATCGATAAAAATCGTGAAATGATATATGAAAAAAAAAATTAGCACTAATCGATTTTTCAAAATTCTTCATGATCGATAAAAATCGTGAAATTATATATGAAAAAAAAATTAACACTAGTCAATTTTTCAAAATTCTTCATGATCGATAAAAATCGTGAAATGATATATGAAAAAAAAATTAACACTAGTCAATTTTTCAAAATTCTTCATGATAGATAAAAATCGTGAAATGATGTATGAAAAAAAAAATTAGCACTAATCGATTTTTCAAAATTCTTCATGATCGATAAAAATCATGAAATGATGTATGAAAAAAAAAATAAGCACTAATCGATTTTTCAAAATTCTTCATGATCGATAAAAATCGTGACTTGATATATGAAAAAAAAAAAAAATAAGCACTAACAATTCGTAATTTATAACTCGAAGCACAGCGTAAATAGCACCAGCAATCGCTTACAATCGTTAATGTGCGTAATAAAGTAATTGATCTCGGAGTAGTATTTCCTGTGATAATCTCACCGAATGATAAAACGTATCTAAAATCATTGATTTCAGCACGTGGGTCTTTCGCGCCACCTGTAGGAGCGACAATCGAAACTTTTTGAGAGAACTCTCGATTCGACTGTAGCGAGTGAATCGATGGTCGCGCCAGGTTCTCCACTTTCCATTTCGATTTTCCTCGGTATAAAAACACGAATGAACGAGTGAAAAAAGGATATTCGCGATTTTGCCCCTCACCACTGCTATTTTCACCCACATGAATGTGATGGATGAGAGGAAATGCCATTTGCTTGGCGAACCTTTGAAATCTCAGGACAGTACGAGAATAAAAAAAAAAATTGACGCATGAATAATAATGATTGTCGCCACTATGTGCCGGGTTCTCAGTATGTTATTGAGTTATTCCAATGCGAGGTTTATCAAAGTGGGTCAAGCGACTGAATACGAGTCCGCATATATAACAACGCGAGGAAAAACAGCGTTCACGCACGCGTGGGTGTATGTATAACATATTTATATGTTAGAGTTATTACAGCAGTATTTACATGAATTATTTTATTTACCGAGGGCATATCTGAGGGGGAGGTATTGAGAGCACGCGAGATTCTGAAACGAAATCTGTCTTTAAGAATTCATAAAGAACTTTCAACTCTTAAAGAATTTAAAGCACCACGAGTCATTCCTGAATTTCTGATTTTAATCTGATATTATTTTTGAATAAAATTGGATATCCATGGGAACATTATGTTTCAGTTTGTGCTCAATCATCGTTGATAATGATCAATTTAGATGTTTCAGATAGTCGTCTTATGGAAAACGGAATGATTATAGTCATGATTGAAATATTATTTGAATATGAACGTAAACCGAAAAATATATCTCAATTGAAACCCAAAAAAGCTCGTGTTAGCATGTTAATATGTGGAAGATATAATCTGTCCCATATTTATAAACCAAAAAATTCTGGATGAATGAGAAAAAATGATGGATGATTATTGTTTAGATATTTCGTCATTCCCGCAGCACTCGATTGACACTGGCGTTGGCTTGTACTACTTTGATTAAACAAATGTTTTTTATCATTCATCAAAATTGTGAAAGTCTGACGTAAATAATTGTAAAGTTATGTTGCGCAATTCCACTGAACTCATTTATGACTTTCGACAATTTGTTTTTTTATAATGAAAAAAATTATGGACTCAAAACTTGTTAAATGATTTTTCGGGTAATATTCTCCGGTTATTTTTCAATTCTCTTTGCCGGGGTGTGGGCTTCCAGGAAGAATACCCGTTGCGTTTATGGTTGTCTTTGCAACGAGAGATCATTTCGCTTTCCATTATTACGTCTCGAGGGACCCACTCGCACGTACTGTCCTCCAGTCGTAAAACCGAGGAGAATAAGTGAAAATTGTTTGCAAAGAGAATTGAATGAAGCAAAAACGGGGGGTGGAGAGGAAGTACAAAAGGGTCGACTCCTGGTGAGAGTTGGGTCAACAGTGTCAGATATTGCACAACGTTCAGAGGGCCGAGGAGTGAGATGTATTATCCCTTTGTTCATTTTGGGACCCCAAATTTTCCTTCTCCCTAAATTTTACCGAAAATTGCGAGGCACGCGACGAGGGACTTATGAGTCCTAAATTTTCGTCTTAATAGGTCATAATTCATCCAGGAGGTACTACTTAATTGGAATATCTCATTTTTCAAAGTTTTCGACGCAAGCACCATTGCTAATGGTCGTAACTCATTTTTAGAATTTCTAAAATTTCATAACAATTCAATTAATAAATTATCAGTCAAAAAACGTATCGATAATTCACGTGAATTTAATTTAATTTTCAGAAAAAAACCATTAATTGCCAAAGACTTTCTTTATTTTCTTTCTCATTAATGAATTCCAAGAATTGTAAGCGCATAATTTTTTTGTCATTGTTATTTCAAAAGTTCATCTTTAGTAATTCCAATTTCAACTCTTGGAGATGCTTCATTGAACATTGGAAATTATAGATGATAACCAGAAAAAAAATGAATGAAAAAATCATGGTGAACATGAAGGAGAGAGTCTTTGCCATTTCTCTGATTTACGTAAATTTGAAATATCCAGCAATTTGAGAAACGTGTCAGCCACGCGTCTGTCCGAACTATGGTTGACCCACTGGAACCCCCCAGTTGGACTTCCACGGGGCACACCTTGCTACCCTGTTGTCCCATTCAGGGGCACCGGGATAATCTTGATTTACAACCGACCGACATCAACAAACATTCAACGAATGGATGAACCTCCCCTGTCCCGAAGTGGGGAGAAAAAAAAAAAGGGATTGAGGGGTTGACCTAGGGAAGAGCTCGGGAAAGCGCAACAAGTGCAATTGACGCTCAACAGCAGGTAGATGTTGTCGATGCCATTGTCAACACAGCCAGCGGGAGTTCTAGCCCCTTGTAAAATTGCCGCTCGTGTGCATTTACTACTTTTTGCTCAACAACTGACATTTTCATTTGCCTTTTCCCATCGCTGTTGCGCCTCAACTGCTATTTTGGCACGCGATCCCCAGAATTTACTAAACAGAATTAGTTCCACATAATTCTCTCAGGGGAAATTGATTTTTAGAAATAGTCGGAGAGAATGAGAACAAAAGATGTCTGCATTCATTGAAATGTGAAGGCACCTGCAGACCTAAACAGGTCCTAGAGCCAGCAATTTCATTCCATCATTCCCGAAGAGCCCTGCCCCTTTTTTCCTTTCCCCTTCGATCCACCAGTTACATAATCCGGCGACAGATGTCGGTAAAGAATGAGCGCACTCTTTTTCACCGAATAAAATCGATTTTGAGAGCGAGATTAAGATTAAAAGGAAAAAAAAATTGAGTAAAACTGTTACAAAGACACAAATAAAGTCGACAGAAATGTGTCGGTGCCCACTGTGTGGGCACATTGGCAAAATGAAAATAATCATTCTCGATTTCACACAGCCGGCATGACCTACATATCGGCAGCCCATCCAAAATGCACATAAACCCCTCGACAAGTAACTCAGTGTTGCAGTGAAGAAATTATAAAATTCCAACTTCATCCTGATATTATAACCCCCGGAGTTTGCAAGAAGACATAACATTCATTTCTACCCACAATACTTGTTTTAATCGTTGCTAAAAATAATATCTCCCGTTTTTACACATTAAAAACGAAAGAAGGCGCAATGACTCGAGGGGAGAGCCAGACGGCCTCTTTGTCTCTCGCCGTCACTTCCATCCCAACAAAAGAAGCGACTCAAAGAGAAAAATAAAGAAAGCATTCTAACAATTCGCATGGCTCTCCCCCCGGCCTTTTTCATTCACCAAATGTTGCGAAATGAGAGCGAAATGAGAGCGAAATGAGTGATAAAAATGCCTCTCTTTGTGCCTCGTGATTCGAAAAGTCACCATATAAAAAAAAACTGATGAGTCAATTTATATTGCAATTGGTAAAGCCACTGGTCCATTGAATGTCAAAAATTATCAAGAGAAAATTGGTAAATTCCAGGTAGACTCTTTGTTTCTGGTAGTTCGAGAGGAGTCGACTATCCCAATAAAATCCAGTCACAGAAAAAAAGTCTGTCGAGTGGGAGTGAGCGAATGGGGGGGGCCCAACGAGGCAAAAGAGAGGTTTGGCAAGCGGCATTTCGTCTCCACACAGACAACAAAGGACAGAGGCACTCAATGATTCGCACACATCCTCCCATTCACACACACAAACAGGACAAACCTAAACAAACCCTAAAAATCATTGATCCAAAACAATTACCTGTCTCACTGTGTACATCGACAACAAGCGCCAGTCTCGCATCAGTCCCAGCCTGATGACTAGACGTCAGTACCACGTTGTTAACCCCACCATCACTCATCTGAGGTGATGTCGATGATTCGGCCAGGCTCGTGCCCGTCGGCGTCGCCTCCATGGTCCCATTCACATCGCCAACCGGATTTTCCATTCGATCCTCGTGCATCGCCCCAAAAATCCACCCACACTTGTCTTATCCAATTATCAGTGAAAATCACTGCCAACGTATGTTCCCTTTATCTTCAATACCCACACACACATTTAACTGTTACATATATAATTCAACTCGTTACTTTCCCTCTCTGTTCAATCCTCGAGGCCCGTTTCAACAGAAAACGGAGGAGAGCCCACGCCGGTACCGTCACACTGAGGATCACCTCACCTCCGGGCACGTCTCGAATTCCCCCCCGTGCATAAAAAAAAACCCAAAAAAAAAAAACAGAAAAACAACCTCGATCAATTGGACAAATGGAATTCCACCGATACCTTACTTTACTCTCCCCATAACACTAATGTCTTCTCCCCATTATATTTTAGGGTAAAAAACCACTTTGTCCTCCACTACTGTTGCTCCTCTCGTCTCTCATTAAATTAACGAGAAGAAAAGGAAATGAAAAAAAAAAATGAGAGTGACTGTGAACGAACCGACACTCAAATCCACTCAATGATGGAATGGTCAATGATTACTCATTAAATGTCCTCGATTGTGTGTTTACAAAGTGTGTTGTTTTACTTCTCGAGGTAGTGGTAAATAACACAGTTGTGGTTGGTGAAAAAAATTGGTGCGTTAGACAAATGTAGGTCTGTAGGCCACTTCACTTACACTTTGCATCAGGGGGAACGGGCGGGCACTCCCTTAGTCAAGCGAGCGTCCCAATGTACTCGAGGGATTCACTAACACACCGCTATATCACCAATTATCCGTTTTAATTCATTAATTACCACAGATGCACTCCCTCAGATTAACGAAAATCCATCGTTATGTGGTGTTGTGAGGATTGAATTTTTGTCGAGGCTCTCGATTTATCACTATTGCCAATATTTTTTATCCCCCGGGGGCCTATCTCGGCCTGGCACACACACTTCTGACAGAAAATGCAACCAAACGGGATCCCAGGGACGTATCCACCACTCACGCCACGGGGACGACACCTATTTTATCCACTGAATTAATACACTTGCCGGAAAAAGATTTCAACACTGTGCGCAGACGCACCATTTAATTTATCATTTTTTTCCCCATTTTTTCTTTGTTTATGCACTGGATATTTTCATTTTCACGGTGAATGTTTATGTCTGAAATTGTTACCTCGGGAGGGGCTTAATAGGGTTTTTCCACGGGTAGGAATCTGATTTTTGCCACCGAGAAATGGAACCGGCAGAGGATCTCTGGAGATAGGGTGCACTAATGTGGAATTTCTCGGCGATTCGCGGTTCTGCGTTTTACTGTTTGCTCGGATTACGTAATAAAAATGAGGATGGTTTAGAGAGATTTTCTGGTAAGCTGTTTATCGGTAGATTGTAGGTGCCATGTGCGGGGTAATTTTGGGTGCTCGATGCGGCGTGTCTGGAGTTATTTGAATTTGAAGAGCTGGGGGTGATGGAGGGATTAAGGGATTGTTGGGGTTTTGGGTTATTGAGGCGGGAGTTTTTGGGTGGGAGATTACTGGTGGGGATTGATTATAACGGTGGAGGATATTTATACGGATTTTCCCGCGGTTGCTCGGGGGATTGGTACGTCAGTGACTGAACGAAAGGGAAAACGTTAACTGTGCCAATTCTCCGGTTTAGTCACTCTCACGCTCGATACGAGCTGACTGGTTATTTTTCATCCTCAATTTAATTTGGGAATAAAATGTCCGCGTTGAATCTGCAACTTGTGTTGAAAACAAATGAAGAAATTAACTGGTGAATTATTCTCTTCGATATTAGCACTGCGTTATCTTGATTGATAAACAAATTCCATGTATGAATGAATTGAAAGAAAAAAAATTACTCCACTGCGGGTGGTGATGGGAGTGGGATCTCCATTCTACGATCCTGGCCTCGTCTGAAAATGTCGGTACACCTTCTCACTTCAACAGGTTTATTATTCCGAGGTGACGTCAGTTCCTCGGTTTCTGCATATTTTCGAAATCCTATTGAATGGACGGATTTTTTTTTTTTGATGAGTTAGTCGCAGTTTGTAAACTACCGCCACACCTTAATTAGGTCAGGTGTTACAAGACGCCTCGTTTGTCATCTTACGGAGCATTTTTTCCCGAGTACGTTGCATAATTCGTCACGTTACTCCACGAAATATAACGAAATAAATAATAAAGTTACCGAGAACATGATATAATGTTAATGCAAGGAGGGAACTTTGATTGGAGAATGCACTTGACTAGCGTCTTGAAAAGTTGCGATACTAGCGACACGTTTTCAAGAACGCCCGGGAAGTTTGAAGGGTCGGAAACGATTGGAAATTGTGAAGAAATCCAAAGCCCCCTAAAAAAATAATATTTCAATAAGTAATTGATATTTTTTCTTGTCTATTGAACGAATCAATATTCAAACATGAAAAGTGAATATGATTCTCCGTGAAACAAGCTATTAAAAAATATATATTTCATAAAGGAATTAAAAATTATATAATTATCAAAATATTATTATCAATAACTGGCACGTAATTTCAACTTCAAACAAAGCTGTAATTACGACGCCTGATTTTTCATATTCTTGAGGAGTTCACGCGCTATGATTACTCTCTGGATCTGTGAAGTGCCCTCGTAGATCTGATAGATCTTGGCGTCTCTCATGAGCTTCTCCACAGGATAATCTGTGTTGAATCCAGCCCCTCCGAATATCTGAACAGCATCAGTGGCAATTCTGTTGGCTGTGTCAGAGGCATAGCACTTGGCAATGCTAGCAAGCATTCCTGCATTTGGATCTTTGTTATCAGAGGCCCAAGCTGCCTTCCACCAGGCGAGTCTGGCTGTTTCCAACCCCATTTTCATGTCAGCAAGCATGAAGGCCACACCCTGATGGTGTGCAATTGGTACACCAAAGGTTTTTCTTTCCAGGGCGTACTTGGTTGCCTCGTCGAGAGCTCTATGGGCAAGACCAGTTGCCCCACATGCCACTGGGGGACGTGTTTTGTCGAAAGTACCCATGGCTATCTTGAAACCATCACCTTCGCTGAGGAGAACATTCTCTTCAGGTACTCTGACGTCTTCGAAGGTAACCATTCGAGTGTCCGATGCCCTCTGGCCCATATTTATTTCCTGTGGTAAAATAATGTCTTCAATTTTCGAGGGCGGAGTGGAAAATATACGTATCAATTGATCTTTTATGTGGTTTATAGGCTTTTTAATTCTGACGGAAATAAGTAAATTCAGTTTTTCTTTTCGAATAATGTGGAATGGATGGAGGTAATTTTTAATATGATTAATAGGATACCTTACGACCTGGAATGACTCCTGGGTACTCTCTCTCAACTATAAATCCTGTGAAGGCCTTGCTAGCAGGCGCCTTTGGGTCTGGATTGGTCCTGGCTAAGACGAAGTACCAATTGGCTACTCCTCCATTGGTGATCCACATTTTCGTGCCATTCAGAATCCATTCGTTTCCCTTTTTTACAGCTTTTGTTATCGTTCCAGCTACATCTGAACCTGCACCTGGCTCAGTCACACAATATGCCTGTTCAATAAAAGTTAGTTTAAATTTCAATTTTCATTCATTTATTTATTTTAAAATATAAATTGCTCGACGCTTACAGCAAGAAGTGGCTCTTCAATGAGACGACCAAGGTACTTCTTTTTCTGTGCATCATTTCCAGCTGTGATAATCGGCGTTTGCTGAAATTGGAGAGTAAATGAATTCTAAGAATGAGTGGAGCTCAAACACTTGTGTTGTGAATGCAGTGATCACTCACTCCAAGACCAGATCCTTCGATAGCCGTTTTAATTCCAGTGCAGCCGTATGCTAAGGCTTCGGCAGTTAAGCAGCCATCGAATACTGACATGCCAAGTCCACCTTGAAACGTAAATTAAATTCAATAAAAATCAGTGTTTTTCTTATTAAATTGGATTCCATGAAATTGAATAAGACCATATTCTGACGGGATATGGCTGTTCATGAGGCCCAACTTCCAAGCCTTCTTCACGATTTTCCAGGGAAATTCTCCAGTTCTATCATAATGTGCCGCCACTGGTATGATTTCCTCTCTGGTAAATTTCTCAGCTGTCTCTCGTAATTGTTTTTGCTCATCATCGAGCTCTGAATTTGCAAATAAGACAATTAAATTACTATTTAATGGCCAACGTCTAACGAATGGAATCTAATCAACTGAATATTCTACGAAATTCTAGATTTTCTTATATTTACCGAAATTAACGCGATTGCAGACTTTAGCACTCACTGAGAACGCTCTATTCGCTGTTTGCTTGGCAGCAGCACTACAAATCTGAAATTATTCAAGGACCTTTCAATATTATATTCATATTTATATTCATTTTTCGTTAATTTAATCCCTTATCCTCACTGGTGAAAACAATAATAGTCGCGTAATATTGAATGCGATAGTACATTAATCTCGAAAAATGAGAGGAATTTTCCGCGAAATAAATATTTCCATTGCGTTGAAAATTCATAAAAATGGTGATACTCTTAGGTCAGATCAATCATTCTCACAATTGCAAAATCTGATGCGTTCTATCTGCAACGGAGATAAGAAACCCTCGTCAACGTAAAAGATACCGATTTCCTTACCTTAATCAACATTTTTTCAGAATGTTGATACAAAATACTATATTAGAATACAAGGGCACAAATTTCCTACTCTTCGCTTTCACTTTGACTTATAAACTTTTTATTCGTTAAAATATATTGGTCCGGGTGATTTATATTACTTAATAGGTGCCCGGTACTTTAAACTCGATGTCTGCACGACATAGGATGAATTAATTGATAGAACATGCGGTGCTTGATCTGTAATACTGATTCTAATTTTTTGCTGCATAGACCTCTATGTGCAAGTTCCTACACCTGACTAAATTTGATGTCTGCAATGAACAGAACCAGTATGAGCAGCGAAACCAACAAGTGGGGTGCCTCAAGATACGACAAGGGGTCAAAGTCCAATTTACAACCCGTGCTCCATCTATCGCGTGCCCCATCAGTGGTTACGCAAAAAAAATTGCGAAAATGCAATGTCATTACCCAGATTACTCTATTATCAATCCATTTAAATGAATCATAGTAAAAATTGAAATTAAATGAAAATATTATCAAGTGACGAAGGCTCACCTCCTGTTTCCTAGTCGAGTTTTTTAATTTACTGCATATTTTTGCACTATATGCAAAATATTATTATGAACATTCTTATATTCATGAATAATAAAATGCTCTCAAGATTAGTCAATCTCAGAGACTTTCAGAGATTTTCTTCGAAAATCCGGAATAAAGTGGATTGAATTGATTGATCATTAATAATTAATTTGATAAATAAATAAATTTCAATATTTTTTAGTAAAATGGCTTTCATAATTGCACGTCAATTGATTGAAGTTATTGCTGAATCTAACGGGGGACTCTTCAGGATTTTTTTTCCAATTCCGATATTTCTTTTGCATTCAAAAATTGAGGAGATGGCTAAGACGCCATTTTTTTGCACTTTAAATCACAATACTACGTCAATGCTCATGGCGCGATAATTTTTCTATAATCAGTTTGACGCCGGTTATTATGACTGAGTATGACGCGGATATTTTGACATGAAAACGTCATGCAGTGGAATTTTTTCAGTTTATTCACCTGAAAAATTTGACGGCGAATAAATTTTCAAATGAACTGATGAATTTGCGCGAAAAAACGATCAATTTTCCTCAGTCTTGACAGATGTAGTGAAAGAAACATTTTGGAGCTGAGGATAAGGTTAGGAAGAGCAACCAAGTGTCAAATTGGAGCAAGTATTCAAAAAATTATTGTGACAGTGATGGTTATTTGATCACAAATGGATATAGAGATTCACCCTTTGACGAGTAATCCCACTGCTGCTTGGCAGGAGTTGTCACAGCATCAGAAAGTCATCAAGATCAATGCCAAAACACCGACGACCGAAGCACCAGAGAATAAAGTGAGACTGATAATTCAATTGACATGTATTTTTATAATTATTCTGAAGCTCATCACCTGCACGTGCACCTTCAACAAGGACCTTTCCACCTTGCCTCAATTTAAGATGATACAATAAATTTTATTGATATTAATGGATTATCTTTCAGCTTAGAGTTGTGTGTATGAGTGACACTCACTCATTAACTCCTTACATCAAGTTTGATATACCACCTGGTGATATTTTTATACATGCTGGCGACTTTACAAAGTGTGGAAGTCTTCAAGAAGTTGTAGAGTTTAATAATTGGATAGGTAATTATTCCATAACGATTTATTACTGAAGCACTATTGATGATATTTTCTTGTGCACTAGGTAATTTACCCCATAAGCATAAAATAGTGATAGCAGGGAATCATGAATTGTCTTTCGATCCGACATTCACCCACCCCTTCACCACTCACAGCAGTGGTGACAGACAAAAACATATGGGGACCAGTATTCTCGATAATATTCCAACCCTGGGAATGTCCAAGGACACCCTAGCCGAAGCTATTCAGACAGCCAATGTTAAGGAGTACTTGACTAATTGTACTTATTTGGAAGACTCGGGGATAACTTTGTATGGAATTAAAATTTATGGAACTCCTTGGTGAGCCTCATGATCATTGTTCAACAATCATTATTTTTTTCATTATTTTTTTCTCATTAAAAATACATGTTGAAAGGACTTTTGCAATTACAGGCAGCCGGAATTCTGCAAATGGGCCTTTAATGTTCCCAGGGGTGAGTCTTGTCTATCCAAGTGGGATCTAATACCTTCGGACACTGATATTCTAGTCACTCATACACCACCCATTGGACATGGGGATCTCTGCTGCAGTGGAGTTCGTGCTGGCTGTGTAGAATTGTTGTCAACAGTACAACAACGAATAAAACCCAAGTATCATGTTTTTGGGCATATACATGAGGGATACGGTATATCTTCTGATGGGAGAATTATTTATATTAATGCATCGACCTGCGATCTCAATTATCTCCCAAGCAATCCACCGATTGTTTTTGATATTACGTTACCCGATGGTTTTGATAAACGACCGAATTGAATACAGTAGAATCACGTGATAGTCGTTCTCGTTTTAATCCCACGTCTGTTTTTACGGGAGTTATTCACCTGTCGGCTGAGTAATCACAGTGTATTTTCAAACGATAAATATAGGGGCCCAAAACGAATAAAAAACCGTAAAAAAAATTCTTGGATTTCGGCAAGATCCAATGAAATGATATTCGGTAGAAATTGAGTGAGGAAAATGCACGCTTTTATTTATTTTCCCTTTTGAAAAAAAAACTCAATAGCTTTAATCGTGAATGGTGCTGACACTTGCACAAGAAAATCGTCTAGACTGTAAGTGGCAAGAATAATGTATTTTTTATTTCAATAGAGAGAATGACAGTGAGATTGTAACACTGAGGGGCGAACAATGAATTATGTTTACTCAATGATAAGCAAGGACTGATGTCATTTGAGATAGTGTGAGAATATTCAATTTTATTGTTCGTATCTGCCACTGATTAAATTGTTGAAGTTTCCAAGAGAATATGCTATCACAACAAACCAAAATTTATTCAATAAAACAGATCACTTTTAAGACATTTGGAATACTCTCACTCTGCCTCTCTGTGCTTTCAATGAAGACAAAAAAAATTAAAAAGCATAGTCTATTTTATTTCAGTTTTATTTTAAGATCGTATTGCGACCAACTGTAATCTCGGACTCCATAACGCATATTCGCTTTTTGTACTTTATACCGTATAATAAATTAACAGGGAAACAATCATAACGTTTTCTTGGTCGTCTTGTCTACCCAATTGCCTGAGACCCGCTCTTCATTTCTGGATATCTCTGAGAGATCCTCACGCATTATGTTTCCCCATCATCATTCATATTATTACAATTTCCATTTCTTTAATATCAAATCCGAGATAATTTATCATTTGTCATATTAATATTGATGTCATTGACGTTCCAAATAGGATGTGAAAATGCACGAAACGATATGCTAACTATACAGGCTGATGTAAATAAATTTGTTTATCAGTGAAATCAATCTTCCATGATGAATCTATTCGTTTTGGGAGCCAAAGTCCCAAGTTATAATCACATGATTTATGTTCAGTTTTTAAGGAATTATTTTAAATCGTATTCATCAGAAGAATTTAGGGCCACTTGGACGTGTATATTTTCATAAGAAAAAGACTTTCCTCCGAATTTAACGCTTTTTTCCATTCACCCGAAGCTATGAAAATTGTAATTGATTTCAAATCATTGCTATTGAATTTATTATTACTCCATGTAATCTCCTGCATCTGCCAATTTCTTCGAAAGTCTATAGCTTATTCCTAAGAGGAAAATATATAATGGCTGACCTCGATATCGGACCGTGTTGCCGAATCGATCTAATGTAAACAGAAACAAGAAAAAAATGTGTGTCGTCTCGGTGAATCCGAGGCGCATCACATTATTTCAAAGGAACCGTTTTCTTTTATCTTGTTCGTATTATGAATCATTTCTTTAATTATGTTCTTATGTCATGCTTACTCGGGCAATTTTCTTAACTTTTATCCTAAACTGCGAATAACAATTGAACCGCTAAACATACGATTACAATTTTAGTTGTCTTACATAATGCTGAGGGTCATATGAGTTGCCTCAATAGGGTACGTTTGAAAACAGGTACGATACGGATTCACCATTGTGAGTTCTTCTTACTGCCTCAGCGAACATCATCGAGACGTCGATGCACTAGAAAAGATAAACGAACAATTTAGTTATTAGTGTAAATGGCAGAAGTGTAAAAAAAAATTTTACATACTCTCGTTTCACGAATAATTTAATTTACCTGAATTTTGGGGCAGTCCTTCATGTGTCCATCTTGAGGGATAGTGTTGGTGACAACTACAGCCTCGAAGCAAGCATTATTAATCCTACTGATGGCTGGACCACTGAAGATACCATGAGTGAGAATAGCATAGACTTTGGTGGCTCCGGCTTCGAGTAATTTCTCAGCAGCATGACAGATCGTTCCACAGGTGTCTGCCATATCGTCCACGAGAATTGCAACTCTGTCTTTAACGTCACCAACGAGAACCATACTAGCTACCTCATTGGCTTTCTTCCTCTCCTTGTGAATGAGGGCGAATTCAACATTCAATCGATCAGCAATCGATGTTACTCTAAACAAATTATAAATTGCTCATGCGAATCCTAAGGGAAAGATTTTCGTGAGACCTATAATAATTGATTAAATCAATTGAAAGAATACCTTTTCGCTCCGCCAGCATCTGGTGAAACGATGATACTATTTCGCCACTCTGCAATGTTCTCTTTGATCCACTTTAGAACAGCTGGTTCAGCGAATAAATTATCAACAGGAATATCAAAAAATCCTTGTATCTGACTGGCATGAAGATCCATCGTGATAATGTGATCGGCCCCAGCCACTGAGAGCATGTTAGCCACGAGTTTCGCTGATATCGGTGCACGACTCTGTAAAACACAAAACTCGTATTGTTTCCATTCAAACTAAACAATGGTGATCAATTGCATGAGTCTCCTCAAGTCCATTTGCAACTGGTAATCCCCCTGGAACTTTAAAAACACCTGTTAATCCTTTTTTCTTTCCAACACTTGGATGTCTATCCAAAAACGATTATTGCCAAAAATTTTGATCTCTGGGCTTGGACCAAGTACCTCTCGTGGAAGAGGACAAAATATGAATACAATTACCAGACATAATCGTCGAATATCTATCCTCCTGTCACAAATTGCAGTAAAAATAAAAAATGTAAAAAAAAATAATAAGATAGATAAAGGATAAAGACGTGTTGCAAATGCACCCCAGTTAGACTCGACGGGTACTGTAAGTAAAGCAATTTCACTAAGTTATTTTGAGTCAACAAAAAAATTATTAGCACAATGCACATAAAAGTATCTGCGAAGATTCAATACTAGAAGACAACTACCAATCAATTTAGGACTATTCTAGATATTCGTGGAGGTTTTTCTAACTGAAATGAACGATGAACTATCAGGTAATAACTTTGAATGATTAAGATGACCATGTAATCTCTCTTGATACTTTTAGGCACATCGAACTGTCAATAGAACTATTCATCATTCAATGGTAGCCTAGAGACAATAGGCTGTAACTTGACAGAAAGCTGGTGGTTATGGCTGTCTCACGTGATTACTAAACTCGTAACAAGGGGATTGAACGAGTCAATTGTTCACATCCGTGGAAAATATAATCAGGCATCAAGCATCTCACGTCAACTAGTTTGATTTTTCATAATTCAAACTTCGATTAGTAATGTAAATTATATTGTTAATCGTGTGAACAAGCGACAGAGTTTTGTTAGTACCCAGAGAGCAAACGTACATCATATACCCCAGGATAACCAGAAACAACAAAAACAAAACTCGTAATCATTGCTGATAACGCCACATAATTTCGCTATCGTATTAATATTTTGCCCTCTCATTCAATGGATGTCAAGAAAGTTCTTTGATTCTGTTTCTCAACTGTAAAATTGGATTGAAAAAAATGTAACAAAAAAAAAACGATCATTCATTCATTGGGTTGCGGGGAAGTCGCTCTGCCTTGCAGCCAAATTAAAATAAAAAAAAAATTATAGTCAAAAGGTCTCGTATTGTTAGTCCTACGGATAATCAACTGCTGTACGTAATTAATTGAAAAGTAACGATAATTAAACGAGTTATAGTAGAAATTACAAAAAAAACTTCACTCTGAAACCTCTAAAATCTGCTCTCAATTCACGTTTATTTAGATCGGTTCATGGTTGTTTCTTTACTTTTGCTTTTTTTTTTATTTATTTCGGTTGATACTCACTGTCGACAGGTCGGGCACAAAGTCCTGAAAATACCCAACTATTCAGAGACATATTCCCCTCAATCGTTTGTCAAAAATAAAACAAACTCAAAAAAATATCTAGAGAATTCCTTCATAAACAATAAAACATTAAAATCAACCCTAGAAAGATATTTTAAAAATATGTTCAGATTAATAAATAATACAACTGAAATTTCCAGTGGGTTTCGTACATATGCCCATTAATGTTTTGCAACAGTTTATCACTGAATGATAACCCATCGCCTTCAAACAGTATTTTTGCAATAGTTCCAGGGGGGTCTCTCCTCGATAACTGATTATCGCAGTGAAAAATGAGGAAATTTCAGAATATATAAATTCTGCTAACATTTTCGTGGATATGAAACGACATATTCGCGTGTTACTTGAGCTGTGAAATGTCTCATTGAAAAATATCACATAAATGCGTTAAATATCATTTGTGAATGACAATACGAATTGACGACGTATTCGTAAGCGTGTTATGATGATTCAAGCGGTTTCTATGATAGACCTGCTGAATCTGTAATAAAAATATCAAAACATGCATTTTGTACACTTTAATATTTTTGGAAAAAATACAAAGAAGCTCGACGATCCCTCGAATGGTAGCAAAGCCGATTGAGAATAAGCACCTGAATGGTGTAATAAACTCATTAAAAAAACATTCGCGTTATCCCCAATATGATAAATAATTATCTAATTATTTATAATGTTGATATTTTCCCTCAGGATGCATTAAGCTACAGAAAGAAGAAGAAAATAATATTAATACCCTGAATTTCCACTCGTTTGACTTCATGACAACTGTTTTCGCGCCTTTCTTCTCGGTACCATCACCTCCCTGTGAATTACAGTACACAAAGAAAAAAACAAGAGGAAACAAAAAAAAAACAGACAAAACAGATATCTTTCAAGTGATATGAAAATCCTCCGTCCATTCCCCAAGATATTATCCATCACAAACTAATGAATTACTCTTCCTCCACCTCTACGTTCTCTCAATGAACAACCAAAGCATTGATCTTCGGTTTTTGATGAGCGATTAAAAATTTAGAAACATTTTTTCGCAGTTTTCGTGCTCTTGGTAGATATAGACTTATAAAAAATGGAGAAAAATCAAATGGAATGCACCTTGGATGGTCCTACCTTGTCCTTCTTGTCCTGTCTGGCATAGGGGAAGCAGGGGATGACGGCTGTGACACGCGATGCTGATGCTATTTTACAGGCATTTATCATTATGAGGAGCTCCATCAGATTGTCATTCACCTCTCCACTTCCACTCTGTACAATGTAGACGTCTTCTCCTCTCACTGACTCGCCTATCTCCACACTAGAAATCGGTAAATCACAATTCATTCAAATAAAAATCATGAATAAATGATTACGTGAATCATTCATACAAACGCGCAGGTATTATCTTCATATTTGTTTCTATCTGAAGTGAGGACGCAGTCAGAAACGTGTTTTTTCAACGTTTTAGTTTATTTCATTGCTATCAGTTATGTTGTTAGTTATTTCGTTTGAGTACTCGTCATTTTAGCAGAAAATTTTAATCATCATCGTCAACATCGTTTCTTTCATTTTTTTTTCTTCTGCGCGTCAAAATTGGTACTCAAACGAATACCCAAATTATGATGTAATTAAAGATGGAGGCGCATAATGAATTCTATGGTATCTACGTGGAAATTTCCCCTTCCAAATAATGCAAATAAACCTCCCAATGTATTGATTTCAAGGCCACGGTGATTTTTTTTTACTCTCCATATTAATAAACCCGTTTTGTCATTATCTCCGCCTTCAACTGGACCAAACTGCGAGACTGTTGTGAATGATTAATAGCTCCGAGACGCTGGAAATTTCCCGTTTATGCCAGCTGAGGAATTAGCAATCACCAATCTCCCGCGCAAATTAATTTTCTCCTAAAGCCAAGACGTCATGTACTCACACGAGGAAAAATTATTATCAAGAAAATAATAATGGCCTAATGTGGAACAATGAATTTACCAAGGTTACATTTATTTTACGTTCCAACGATTCTCCCAATTATCGAACAAACACAACCATCAGGTATTATACAATACCGTCAATTTATAGATTTCAGCTGATTACTCAATAGACCACGTGAATTTATAAATATGAGCCAAAGAATAACGCCGAAATATCGACGGATCAGAAAAATATCTCAAAATCTCTAGATTAAAGGAGTAGCTTGAGGAATGGATTAAATTGCCTCCAAAGGATTCTGTAAATAAACTATTTCCTCAACTATTCCCACGATCTAATTTCAATAATAATATCAAGTGATTATAATAATGTTAATGATAATAACAAGTCAAAATTCGACAAATTAATAGTAATAATAACAAATAAAAAGTTAGCCGGGGGCTGTAGCGATACAAAAACAACATAACATAGGAAATTTCAGGAGATGTCCTGAGAGTTCATTCTTCTCCAAAAATAATGGAACTACGTCACATACTGACATGACTGTTGTTATTATCGTCTCTAATGGTTGAAAATAAATCGATGATAATAGCTTGAAAAGTGCAGTGCATTACATTGAAAAAAATGTCGGTCCCATAGGCGATTATTCATGGATTTTCATGGGTTTGTGAAATCCCAGACAAGTGGATTTAAATAGTTTTTTTCAGTTCTTTATGGACACGTGGTTGTAGGCATCGTAGCCTCATAGAGGCAGCATGGAGCATCGAGGCACGCGGGAACACCTCCCCCCATGGCTTTTACCCCAATTAAAGGGATTGGCGAAAAAAAAAATAATAAACTACACACGGAGCAAGTATAATTACCATGTCTCTAGGTTGCTGAATTTTTTAGTGACAACTTTTCCAGTGTCAATGCCGAGTCTGTCCACTATCCTCTGCGCCAGATCCGGATGTGATGTACCACTGAAGACCTTGATATTCGGCATTCTGCTCTGTAATACTCCGCGTGATTTCTCCAAGTTTGCTCGTAACAAACTCTTGGCACGTACTGGCTGGGACACGGGCATCACTGTATAGGAAGAAAAAATTATGTATCGTGGTGGAAGAAGTTCCTCTAACGGGTAGGGAATTTCACAATCCACCAATCATCGGGCTTTTCTGTCCAATCGGAAGTGACGTTGGTCGCTAAAACAAGCTCCGCCCACTACCCAACACGTTTTCTTATCGCTCTATTTTTTTATTATGAGTATATTTAATCAATTGATTTGTTTTGTCGTTCGAACGATTAAAATGACACAATTGTTTTTCGCAACGAAATCATGTGCCAACGCTCTTTCGTCAGCTTTCCATTTTTTATTTTTCATTTGAATCTTGTCGACAACAGGGCGGTCGCCCATTGCGAAAACCCCTTGCATGCGTCACTAGCCGGTTAATCTCATTATACAAATTGTTTATCTGTTGTTTATCGAGGATTTACAGTTGAAACTTTAGATGATGAATTGTCATTCACAAGGTGTCTGTCATTTTTATCGATATCTCGAAGGATTATGATTAATCGATGGATGAGGGACTGTCAACACGTGGCATAATTTTGCATTTTTCGAGTAAATTATAAGAAGTGATAATTGATTATTAAATTTGTATTTACCGCCGATTGAGAGGCGCTGCTGTCAAACGAAGAGAAATAACTTGGAATTTGATGGACAGGTGAAAATAAAAATAAATTGATGAAGCAGCCGGAATATATGTTATGGTGAAGGGATTTTTTTTTGAGATTGTGGTCAAATGTGGCGCCGGTGTTCCTTTTATCTCTGCCGGTTTTACTCTGATGGTAAATTCACTGATTTGTTGCGCTCGCGCGGTTTTTTCCACCGAAGACGCGAGTAAACGGGTGGTTAACGTCCTCGGTTTGTGAATTTTCGTACAAAATTATATTTAAGTTGATCAATTAGGGGGACTAATCCTCCACTCTCTGTAAAAAAAAAATTGTCAACCCTGGAGTAATATTTGGTAACGCAAAAATAAAGGAGCAAAATTTTAACACCCTTAATTGAAAAATCAGTCAAGTGAAGGTGAACGGTTGAAATTATAACATTATCGTAGCATCTGAGGATTTGAGTTGGGATAATGGCAGTGTGTTGACATTTAATTCACCGAGGAGATTGTAATTAATTAGCAATAAAGAAGTTTGTGGAAAAAAATGGCCAATATTGCTGCACAGAGGATAAAAAGGGAGTTCAAAGAGGTTATAAAAAGCGAAGAGGTGAGTCGACAAATATCAAACGTCCCCTTGGGTTATTCTTCAGTCTCAAAATTTCCTGATGTCTTCCAACAATTATTATTAAACGGATAATTATATTTCAATTGTATTATGCAATGGAGACTCGAGAATTGAGAAATTGTTCGATTGCTCTAGAGATTTTTTAGACTTTGACCCCGTTTTTTTTTTTCTCAATCTCAATTTCTCGTTACTCTCGTCATCGTGGATCACTCGGTATGACTCTTGGGTAAATTACACACTCAGGATGACACAAAAGCCTATCGAAATAACGATTTTATAAGTGAAAATTATGAGGTGTGTACTGTAATTCCCGTGGATTTTATTTCGCGTGACATTGTCAAAGGGTTTTGTCATTTACTGGCGCATGACACGTGTATTTTCACTGGGATAACTTTTACCTTCCGATGTGGCATCATTGTCAGTGCTGGAGGTACTTGATGATCCCTGTTGTTCCATTGTTAGATTATTTTATATTGGTTATTAATAGTGGAACGGAATGTTCATCGCACTTTTTTTTGATCAACTGGAGAGAGACTAGCCTCAAAACAACAGAGGAAACAAGACACTAGTGACTATATTAATAAATTGGATTATCTTGTCTGGGAATGTTTCACCATTTTGTTATCAATTTCTTGGTCCTCCCCCTTGTGTCAGGGGTTATGTTGATTTCGTTTTGCTCGAGATTCCATGATTTGTTTTTTTTCCATGACACTCAAGAATTTTGCTTGCGAATTTCTATCCAAATAGAGGCTTTGTTTTGATTAATTTCCGAAGTTTGGACGGTGAAAGGGAAGTCGTGATGTAGTGCACTTCATTTGTCTGGGGCTAGCTGTTTCATACGCATTTTTATAAATAATTTTTTCAGGTAGCCAAATGTGCGATTAGAGTTGAACTTGTTAATGACAGTTTTACGGAGCTCAAGGGAGAAATCGCTGGACCACCCGATACACCTTATGAAGGGGGTAACTTCGTGTTGGAGATTAAAGTACCAGAAACTTATCCATTCAATCCTCCAAAGGTAATGAAGAACATATGACGAGTCTTCAATTGAGTAATTGGGTGATGAAACTCCGATTTTCCATTCCATTTGTTTGAAATTGGAATTTTAATGTTTAAGGTACGTTTTATCACCAAGATATGGCACCCCAATATATCATCGGTAACAGGAGCCATTTGTCTAGATATCCTTAAAGATCAATGGTAATGCAAAGCTCATCATTTAAATAAAATCAATCAGAGCTATGTGAATTGAATTTATTTAATTTTTGTGAATCTAAAGGGCAGCGGCTATGACCCTACGAACAGTCCTGCTATCTTTGCAAGCCTTATTATCAGCAGCGGAGCCAGACGATCCCCAGGACGCTGTGGTAGCTAGACAATTCAAAGAAAATCCTGACATGTTTCGTCAAACGGCCAGACATTGGACGTCTGTCTACGCAGGAGGTCTGAAATAATCAATCATACAATCGCAGATTACATGACGTTGGAAAATTTTTTATATAAATAATGATGATTTTTGAAATTGGAGAATCTGAAATTGTTTAAAATTGTGTGTCAATTATGTAACAAGATTCACATGCAGTCTCTTAATTTCAAATGCATTACGAGTCTAGAAAATAATTCCAACTTGCGAAATATCAAAAGGATTAAAATGAAGAATTAACAATTGTCCACAGGGCCAGCAAAGATGCCAGAGCTGACCGATAAGATAAGAAGACTAACGGACATGGGAATTGAGGAGCATAATGCACGAGTAGCACTATCCTCATTCAACTGGGACTTGGAACGTGCCACTGAACAACTCTTCAGTTAGTGATAGTACAAGGAATAAAACTTGAACTCACCCAGTCCATCATCCCCTTTCCCCATTATTCAAAGTTAAAAATCATCAGTTAATTGATAAAAGACGCAGAGCGTCTCTCGTCCACCGAAATAAAATTCAAGCTTAAAGACAATATTACCACAGAGTTTAAAAAAAGGGAAATTCAACTATGAACTATTAAAAACAAACGGAATTATCAGTGAATAAATTTTTTTGTATAGTAGGCATGAATCCTGAATAAAGCAGCTTGGAACGACGGTCGCAAGGAACACTCAAAGCCAATTGCCGATATTCTCTTTTGGTCGCGAAATCTATTACGTACTCCTTTGAAGAACAAATTGTGTATATTTCATGGAAAAACAATCGTGATTCTTTTAGTGCTAGTTACAACCATGTATAAACTATTACCGCAGTTTATGAACTTTTAAATATAAACGGAAGAAATGATTTGTATATTTTTTTTTTGTGTTTGCTTGGTGCTAGTCCAGAGAACACGTGCATTTAGGGGAGATTCGACCGGAGAAAAATCCATTCATATTTTCATATTACATACTCGGAACCAATTCATCATATTTCTATTCAATTTTTCTGTTCGACTGAATGAATTGTGTTTTTCAAGCAATGAACATGAAAAATAATTGATAAGTCTTCGAATCAGTCTCTGAATCAATTAATTGTCGATTTCTTTGATCTTTATTCTCATATTATACGATGGCTGATTTCAGCCTGATTTTTTCATCATCTGCTGGAAGTGAGCATCAGACTATTGAATAAATAAATCTTTTTAAATTGGAGACGGTCATGAGTAATCGCCTTTTTTTCATTATGAATTAACTGTAATAGCTTAATTTTGCAGCGTGGAATTCCAGAAACTCATTCTTTCGTAATTAAAACGAAATTCCGGAGCCCATCGTGTTCTCGTCTTCAGTCATGAATTTCCAGATCAATCAGATATTGATAATAAAAAAATACTCTCTTCCTTGAAAAACGTATAATATACTTTATTCCAATTCTTATTCAATTGCTCATATAAAAATTCTCATTCTCAAACATTACAATTAAGTTATTCTTCATATCCTAAGATGCGCAAGGCAATGTATATAAAAAAACTACAACATAACTATTAGAGGAGCTGAAGTTTTAAACTGAACTTGCAGTAAACGAGATCAAGAGATCGCAGAGCTCAAGGAGACACCAATCAAAGTCCTGGACTTTCCATTTCGTCGTAATTTAGATCAAATAAAATTAACAGGTCTAGGAAACCTTCTCCCAAATCAATCAGGAATTAAACGTCAAAAATGAAAAGAAGAAGCACTCTTTTCATTACAAAATTTACAATAGATTTTATTGAAATTGTTGTCAATGAATATCTCCCTTTTTTTATGTAAAACTTTTCATTCCCAAACATTACAATTAAGTTATTCTTAATCCTACGATGCACAAGACAATGTATACAAAAAGAGGAGAAGAATGACAGCTCCACTTCGAATCTTGAATCTATCTCCACCTTAGGAGACTAACTGACAACTAAATTAATCGTTACGGTTGCTCACAATTGTACAGCCTGAGTTTATTCCCGGAGAGGGCTCCAAGGAAAACGGAATTTTGCAGTCTGAATGAGCATAGATCAACGACAGGATTGCATGTAGGAAGTCTCTGCACCTCCTTGCCCGTAGAGACACTCCAGATAGGAACACTCTTAGTCGACTCCTGATGGGCAGCAACAAAAGTATCATCGGTAAAATTAATATGACAGGGTCTCGACAATAAATTCTGAGTGCTTCCAGCTGTAAAAGTATGAACAGTATTGCATGCAACAGTATTCTCAGTGACTTTCTCCACCGAAAAAACAATGTGCCTGGCTTGAAGATTGTTGGCATTGGGCCTGCATGAGATAAGTGCATGATGATTCTGTGAGTCATACCGAATGCACGTGAACGGTCCCTCGTGAAGCATCTGCTTAGCAACATAAACATTATTTCTTATTTCGTATGCATAACAAGAGTTCAAGTGACTGGCTAAAAATCCACCCCTGACTATTCCATTTGAGGAGCAGGGAGGCACCGTTGCCAGGGATGCAACGGGAGATCTGTCACCAGGACTCTCCAACGTATCCAGTGCTCCAGCAGTCTGTCTAATATCGAATTGTGTGATGAGTCCCTTCTGGGTGCCAACGACAAAGATATTGGGATTGTCCCCAGCCCAGCAGCAACTCCACACCTGAGACTCTACAGGAAATCCATGCAGCACTTGATCATTGTGAATATCCATCAACTTTGCAGTCTTATCAAAGCTCACTGACAGCAACAATGATTGTTGTGTTTGGTGAAAAGCCATATCCCTTATTTGCTGACTGTGCAGCAGGGTGAATTGCAGCTGCTCGTACTTGTGCGTGTCAATCTTCTTCACCCCATACCCAGGAAATATTCCATTCGGTGATTTTTGGGATACAGCGAGATATCCATACCATGAGTTATAATCGAGAACTCTGCCGCACCCATCCCTGGGCATCTCAAAAGTTCTATCTAGGTGGAACTTTCTGCCGACATGTCCCCCAGTAGTCCTCTCTCTTAGCTCCGTCCTAAAATCATGTCTCTGAGTCTCCAAATCAGTTATCTTCTGTGTAAGTTCCTTTATCCTATCTTGAGCAATTTTATACCGCAAATGAGATTTCGATATCTCTGACTCCATGCTTTTGTTTCTCGCCATCACAGTCTGGAGTTCATTTTTGAGACGATCAAGCTCGATAGTGTCCACTGATGAGAGATTGGTGGTGTAGATCATTCTGATGTCCTTGGTGTGGGCTTTTCTGTTACAGTGGGGACACCTGCGATTCTGGGCTGTGCACTCCTGTTTCAACCACCTGAGGACACACTTGTGACCGAATAAATGACCACAAGCGAGAGAGCACAGCCGGTGATCTCCAGAGTTTGTCCAGTGCTCCATGCAGATGGGACACGATTTACCCTCATCAGACTCGTCACTATCTTGGGTCAATGATTTGGCTTCTATCTCCAATTTTCGTTTCTTTCGGGGCTTCTCCTCTTCGGACTCTAGGGCCGATGAGGAGGTCGCTGAAGAGGCCGTGGAATCCTCGTTCTGAGGTATCTCTGCCACTTGAATTATCTCTGGAGCATTCTCCTGTGAGTTCTCGTTAATCGCTTGCACTTCCATGATGTTGGCGACGTTCTCGACATTCTCGATTATCTCGATGTTCCCAACGTTTTCTAGATCAACAGCCTCGATTATTTCTGCAGGGCGAATTTCAACTGGCATTAGGGCGTCATCCACTATCAGTACGTATTCATCCTCCTCTTCCTCCTCCTGGCCACTGGGACTTGAGTTATCTCCCAGGTCAGGCTCGTTACCGGACTCTGGTACGATATTCATTGATAAATCCACTGATTCACTTGGCAAAATTGCCACCTCAAGGTAATTGTGATCTGAAATTGTGAGGTTTTCTCTTGGCCTTTGTTCTACGCAGCTAGCTCGTAGGGTTGTCCCCCCTCTAAATTTGGTCAGAGAAGTAATGAAAGGGACTCACTATATTCCATTTCTGCTGTCAGGATTTTTTCAGGTTCTGGCTCGGTGACTTGGTGATAATTTTTTAACGGAACTTCACTTCAGCGTTAATGAGAGCGTGGGGTCATATTTTGTTTTGGTTTTTTTTGGATTCAATGTCAACTTGAGTGATTCAATGAGACCACGTTACATTACTCCTTGACTGCAGCCAGAAGTAAACATAACATGGTGCACACAGCTGTTATGAAATGAGTTTATTTTGTTCATTTGGTCCAAAGAGGATTGATCAAAGTAGAGGCTCAGTTCTGGGGGTTTGAGTGACCCCAGCGGCATCGTAGTATTGCACCCTAAGAGAGGGAGGGCGCCACACGAAATTTTTCGAAAAGTATCTGGGGAGCATGAAAATCGAGGAGGTATTCACGGAAATTTGAAATTTCGAAATTTTTCGAAAAGTATCAGGGGAGCATAAAAATCGAGGAGGGATTCACTGAAATTTTAAATTTCGAAATTTTCCGAAAAGTATCAGGGGAGCATAAAAATCGAGGAGGGATTCACTGAAATTCGAAAAGTCCAAATTTTTGAAAAAGTATAAGGGGAACATGAAAATCGAAGAGTTATTCACTGAAAGCTGAAAAATCAAAATTTTTATAAAAGTATCAGGGGAGCATGAAAATCAAGGAGGTGTTCCACCGAAATTTGAAAATTCAAAATTTTCATAAAAGCATCAGAGGAGCATGAAAATCGAGGAGGTATTCACTGCAATTGAAAAATTAAAAATTTTCAAAAAAGTATCAGGGGAGCATGAAAATGGAGGCGGTATTCACGGAAAATTGAAAATTCGAAATTTTTCGAAAAGTATCAGGGGAGCATGAAAATCGAGGAGGTATTCACTGAAAATAAAAAATTTTTAATTTTCAGAAAATAAAATTCGCTCAGTCGACCGCGTCCCCCTCCCTCTCTTGGGGTGCAGAGTTGAGAGTGCATTTTTTCTTAAATCAAGTAATTAAAGTGAAACTCTTTCCACGTCACCCAAGAGGTAGAGCCCTTGACGCGTTTTTTTTTAAGTGGTATCCCCTATAGGCCTAATCCACTAATGGGAAATTATAATGATTTGAAAACCTGGAATCAAAAAATAACCATGACATTTATTAATAATAAATAATAATGAATTAATAATAAATTCATCAATTTCTATGGATATTCTAGCTGCATTGTCGATGTTGAATCATCTCAGCAACATTGATTTGGGAGAAATATTGAACGATGATGGAAGATTCGAGGAAGTTGTCAATTACATAAAACAGGTGAATTATTTAATCGATGACAATAAATGGATAATAAGGCGGTCATCTCATTATTTTCCTGTCTTATTATTAGATATGCGACTTACTAACTTTTCGTGAGGTTTCCTAGTTCAAAGAATTGGAATCTGAAAAGAAAGTTCTGATCGCTGGAAATCGTTCTCTGGCCGAAGTCAATAAAAAAGCATTACATGAACTGTCTGAAAGAAAGGCTGTGAGCTGCTGCTGAAAATGAAGAAGAATCGGAAGTAATTATTTAAGCAATTATATAAACAATTATCAAATAATAATTGTGATTTTTATTTGTATTCTCCTTCGTGTCCAGAAAATAGCTGAGAAATTCTTATCGGGAGATACAGAAGTCGATGAATTCCTGGATCAATTCTTGACCCGAAGAAAGATAATGCATTTACGAAAGGTGAAGGCAGACAAAATGCGAGAGCTCAAGAGGAAACCGAAATCGTCAACAGGGGGTTATCCAGCAGTGAACACCTTTCGCCGCCCAAGTTTCCTTAAAGCTATTTCCGTAATGTGGATCAAAATAATTCCCACGATAGCCCTCATCTCAGACAACAAGACAAAAGACTACATCGTAGGCTTCACGGACCTCGGAAATTGCGACGATTTTTCCACAGAGATGATGGAGTGGAGAATAGTCCAGTCTGGTGCAATATCATACACTGGTGACCTGTTGAATCCACCAGAAAAGGGAAAGAAGCCGTCTAATCTGCTCTTTGGAAACAAGAAATCAAAAACAATTCGAGGCAGAACTAATTCTGACGACAGTGGTTCTGATAACGAATGATTTATTCTCATTCGATCGAATTTTCCTTGTTATTCGCATACCTTTTTGGATTATTATTGTTTTTTTTACGTCACGCACACTGGGAAATGATAAATTAGGAATTGAATCAATCTGATGGAATACAATAAACATTTATTTATGGGTTTACATTGAATTTTTATTTGAGTTATAAATACCTTCAGCCCTCCTCATAAGTAAAAACTGAAATATAAAAATGTTTCATCAGGAATATTATGGAATGATATGACTTTTACATGACCTGCATACAGAAATAAATTTATAGTAGTTTTCAAAAAGTGCACTATCCACTCTGGGTCGATTTTAAAGATTATTACCACACTCTGAAAAGACACACAAAACATTAGCTTTTAAAATTGTATGTAATCGGTAAATACTACGAGTATTAGGCTATGGTGCATTTACCTGGATATATGAAAGTATTTTCGAAGACTCCTGATGATCTCGTGATAATTCCACACGCTAGTCTGTGGAATAAATTATTAAAAGTGTTGAGTAAAAGCAATACGAAAGAAATCATTCATAAACTCACTTCTGGTCACTATTTCTTCACTATTTTTATTGATGTTTATTTGATTTACTTCAATAATAATTTAATATCATACTTACTGTTTTGGGCGAAGATATAAAATTCGACGTAAATTTAAGGCCCGGATGGATTATCTGGAAAATATAATTCACTCCGAAATTTGGACTGCTAGTTATTCCGGAAATTAATCGTTTTTTCCAATAATTGTTAGCTAGCACCGTAGCGGTTGTCAACAACTAGAGCGCTAGCTAACA